TGGTCAACTTGTGTCCTTCAAAGTAGTCACCCACTGTGTATGGGCCTCTGCAGCAACACAGCTCTCCTTCTCTGCAGGGACTCCATGGGAACCTGGCTGGACTGCTGGGGACTCATGGGTTTCCGTGGCGACAATAGGGCGGAGCCAGGAAACAGCCGCTCAGGAAGGAAGGCTGGCCTTCGGGCCAGAGAGAACCTACTGGGCGGAGGAGGCGCCAGACATTCTGTCCAGTTTCCCCAACCCCTGCTGGCCGGTACTCTCGCCCATTCCGTTGGCCTCACCCACAGCCCCGCCCCCACATCTTAGGACTGCGAGTCTTTACATAAATAGTTACTTTTATTCTCCCCTCCGTGCCTGGTTTGGGTCTGTGGATGTTGCTGTCTTTGTTCTCATGAGTGCATCAGTTCCCTTGGTGGTCCTTTGGCTATAAGGCTAACTGCAGGCAATCGCGGGTCTCTTAGGCTGCTGGAATGTAGTACTTATCCCGAACGCTCTGCCATGTTGGGCTGGCTCCTCCCTGCTTTGACAGATTGGGAAGTGAAGATAAAGAGAGATTAAGGCAGAGAAAACATCTATCTCCTCTTCCTCCCTCCCCATTTTTCCTTGTCTTTTTCTTTTCTTTTTCTTTTCCTCCTCCTCCTCCTCCTCTTTGGTTTTTTGAAACAGGGTTTCTCTGCATACCCCTGGGTGTCCTGGAAGTAGCTCTGTAGGCTAGGCTGGCCTGAAACTCATAGAGATCTATCTGCCTCTATCTCTCAAGTGCTAGTATTAAAGGCATACACCACCACTGCCCCTTTCCTTCTTTTTTTAAAAATGTTGCTAACTGGACTAGGCATAGTTGCCTGCCTGGTCTATGAAGTGAGCTACAGCACAGCCAGGGCTATGTAGAGAGACCTTGTTTCAAAAACAAAAACAAAGAAACAAACCAAACCAAGATGGCTCTGGAACTCTCTGTGTAACTCAGGCTGGCTTCTGCCTTCGGAGTTGTGGGATTGTAGGTGCAGAATCACACCCAGCTTTGTATGTTTTGTTTTTGTTTTCTCCTTTTTCTTTTCCTGACTATTGACAAGTAGCTTTGGTGGGGAACACCAGCTGGCTATGTTTAGGGACTTCCATTCTCCTTTGCTCAGAGACAGAATTCATTCTTTTAGTACTGAGCCCCCTGCTGGCACCAGACTGTCTTCTGAGATAGGAAATTGGAAAAGTACAACCCCTGTTCCCACTGTAAGATGTTTCTGTTCTGGAGAGAGAAAGGCTAAAAAGCAATGAATCCACAATAAGCCAGTATCAGGAGTACTGGGTACGAAAAGGGGCTATATCAGTATCTACAGCCTATTTTTTCATGACTGTTTTTTTTTTCCCAAACCTGAAAGAAACATGAAGAAACCATACAAGTGGCATGCTAACTGCACAGATGGGGAGCTGTTTAAAGCCACTGAAGAAAAAAAAGGAGCGGGTGTATGGAAGGGCAGGGGTGAAGCATGAGGGTCAAGAGGCCCAATGGAGCCTGGAAGGATCTGGCTTTTTCCTCCAAATGAGAGCTGGGAAGACTTTTCAGTGACTTAGCATCCTATAGGTTCGGCATAGCTTTGCTCCTGCAGTGGCTTAGCTATGACTTTGTCCAGGCTGGTCTTTGCAGGATGGCAGGACAATTCCACAGGTTTGCTGCCTCTGAGTCAGACCTCCATGCTTCATCCATTGCCTCTGACCTCATAGCTGCCTGGGGCTCCTCAGGGTAGGAGGGTGGAGTGGCCGCCAGGCTGGCGGGCTGGCAGGGGAGGGGGGCAGCATTTCTGGGAATTGTGTCAGGGAAGCACATTGTTAGAGCAAGCCTACACTAGGCCTCACTGGCCTCTAGGGGATGCCTCCTGCCTGCCTCCCTAGTACTGCCTCTGGGGGAGGCAGCTGGGTCCTGGCCAGGCTGTGGGCTGGTGGGGGACTTTCCAAACAGACATTTCCATAAGCCTATGGCTCTTCCCATTCTGTAGATTAGGAGACTGAGGCTCAGAGAGCTCACAGCTACAGAGACAAAACTAATATCCACATGTCTAGCTTTCACTTTCTACCTCATATGACTAGAGACCCTTTTATTTGTCACTGGTCACTGCTTTGTCTAGCCACAGAAGCCAGTGTCTAAGGAGGGCCTAAAGTGGCACTGGCTGTGGTTGTAGATGGTGGAGACCTTCAACACCCCCAAATGGGCAGAAGACCTGAGAACTGCATGCAGGGGAGGGACTATCATGTGGTGACAGGGTTAGGACCTCCTGGAGTTTAGGATGTCTCCCAGTCTGTGATGATTGGAAAAGAAACAAGGGACTCCGTGTGAGCTTGGCAGTGTGAGTCTTCCCACCCACCACCGCCCTGCCTTGGCCAGAGGGGAAGCATTCAGGCCACCACTGGGGTCAGGGCCAGCTCTGGGCAGACATGGTTGGGGGGCAGGGATCACAAATAGAAAAATAAATGGCTTGGGCTTCCGCTGTTTCCTGAACTGAGGAAGGGGGAAGGGCAGTCTTTATGTCAAAGGTGCAGTTGGCCTGGTGGAGCAGACCCTGGGGATGTCCCATGATCCTACCTCATTAGAATATTGCCTGCCTTTTTCAGATCTTCAGGCTGAGATATTTCTATCCCAGGGTCCCTATGATAGGGCTGTGTTGCTCATTGAGGACTCCTGAAGTTGGAGATCCACTTCAGGGGCAGACTCTTTTTTTTTTTCTTTTTTGGTTTTTCGAGACAGAGTTTCTCTTTATAGCCCAGGCTGTCCTGGAACTCACTCTGTAGACCAGGCTGGCCTCAAACTCAGAAATCCACCTGCCTCTGCCTCCCAAGTGCTGGGATTAAAGGCGTGTGCCACCACTGCCCGGCTCAGGGGCAGACTCTTAAGAAATATTGGGAGTGCGTATGTGTACCCCAGGAAGGTTGGGTGCTAAAGCCATTGGTAAACTGTTAAGATGCCTCATCTAGGTGTTCTGGAAACTTGGGAAAGCCCCCAGTAGTAGATGGGACAAGATAGATAGGCAAGGCTGTCTCCCAGAAGCCTTCTTTCCCACCTGGCATCACATTGTCCAAGAAACTTCCTATCTCCAAACCAAACTCAGGCAGGTGTGTCCTCCATCACCTTCAGAGGGCTAGAGTAGAGAACATCACCACATTGGAGTGAACACCTGGGTGAATCTATGGTCTAGATGTTTGATGTGGAGGTTCCACTGAAGATAAACCCCTGAAAGTTGGCAAGGTGTGTGTGTGTGGGGTGGGGAAGAGTCTGGAGTGGGAGGTGACTTCTCTGATCACGGGCCAGAAGGTTGAAGCTTCTGTAGGGTCTGGGATCAGGACTTTTTGTTTGTTTCTGAAACAAGGCTCTCATATACATATTTGAGGATAACCTTGAACTTCTGATCTTCCTGTCTTTACCATCGAGTGCTGAGAGTACAGGTTGGGAGTACCTGTGATACTTGGTTTATATGCAGTATTGAAATCAGGGCTTCCTACATGCTAAACAAACACTACCAACTGAGCTAATCACCAGCTCAAGGAGTGAAGTTTCTTAAAGCCTGAATGTGGAAATATTTGGCTGGTGAGTACCAACTCCACAAATGAGGACCCCTCAGGATTGAACACATCTTTGATCTGGCTTCTTTGTGAGCATAGCTCCCCTGCTGGTGATCTTCTGGATTTTCCTCAGGAAAGATCCCATGTTGATCAGGTCTGTGGGTGGCTCCTGCCACCTACAGGCTGCTGTTGCTCATCATTGGGACCACTCAGAGCTGGGGCTACTCAGTAAGCAGTCCCTTGATGGGGCCAGTCATCAGCCAAACACAGCAAGGCTGAAGGCTCTGTGGTTCTCTTACTGCCTGTGCTGTGGTAGGGTCCTGCAAGCATTAACTCAGTACTCAAACACAGGCTTCCCTCTCCCAGAATTTGTTTGGATGGGTTTAGCTTAGAGCAAGGGCCCAGCTCCCAGTAAAGGGCAGAATCAGAGTTGGTATGAAACTAGGGAGCTGTGTTCAACTATCACTACACCTCTGGAAAAGCTTTGTTACCTGCAAGAAATTCCATGTCTTTTCCTTATGGTAAAGATGTCATAACTGATTAAAATGTTCAGTCCAGGCCGTTCATATATGTTATTTGCACTCTGTCCTCCTGGGTACAAAAAATTCAGACACTGACTTTTGGTACCAGCACACCTGCCACCATCTATAGCACAGAAGAGGAGCAGAGTACCTTTCTCCCTTTCCTGGGCATGGTTATAGTCTTCATGAGGTACTGCTTCAGTACCTGATTGCCTCAGTATCCTGCCCTGTTCTCAGTGTATAATGTGAATCCGATGATCCTGATTGCAGCCACTTCATTGTCACTTCACAGGTTGGGAGACTGGGACATATAGCAACGTGCAGAACTTGGGATGTATGCCCTGTTAGGTTGACTTCAGAATCTGAATAGGTTTTTGTTGTTGTTGTTTGTTTTGTTTTTTTGTTTTTTTTCGAGACAGAGTTTCTCTGTGTAGCCCTGGCTGTCTTGGAACTAGCTCTGTAGACTAGGCTGGCCTTGAACTCACAGTGATCTGCCTGACTCTCTGCCTCTCCAGAGCTGGAATTAAAAAGGCATGAGCCTCTATTTCCTGGCTAAAAAGGCAAGAAAGCCCCGAACTCGGCTTGGCACCAAATGAAGTGTGTGAGGTGAGCTGAGAGGCTCTAGGAAGTAGGGGCGACCAGTGAAGTCCGGAGTGGACCAGTGAAGGCGCGATGGGCCGCCAGGGCAAGCGGCTCAGATGGGTTGAGTTAAAGACCCGAGCGCAGTAGGGCTGTATTCCTCCCTCCTTTAGTTCCACCCTCTCCCTGGCATTCCTTGGGCACGTGAGACCGTGGTCCCGCGGAGGTGCCTACGGAACTACCTTTTCCAGCGGGCCGCGGGCCGCAGGCCGCGCAGTTGTCTGGGAGTTGTGGTCCCGGGGGCGGAGACTTTTTATAGTGCTGCACGCGGCCGCCAGGCGGAGGTTTGGACCGCGGATCGAGGCGGCGGCGGCCGAGGTCGGGCCGGGCGGCGCAACCGGCGCAACTCGCCGCCACCGAGGTAGTGATGGGCAAGGAGGAGGAGATTGCTCGTATCGCCCGGAGGCTGGACAAAATGGTGACCAGGAAGAACGCGGTGAGGGGCGCGGGCCGCCAGGACCCTGGGGCCCCGCTCCGCGGAGACCGTCTGAACCTACCCTCGGGCAGGATGATACCTAGCCCATTCAGTCGAGACCCCTTGCCCATGCCCGCCCTCCAGCCTGTCCTGAGACTGCCGCTTCGCAATGGACGCCACGCTGACCGAGAGCTGTCCTCTGTTCGTCGCCCGGCGGTGGCCACGGGCGTTCTTGGCCCAGCCGTTGTCTCCCCTGTCTGCCCCCACCCTTCAGAGCCAGGTTTCTCTAATAAATTTTTCCCCTGCTTAGTCAGGCCTCAGGCAACAGCAAGTCGGTTTGGGCAGACAGTAGAGATAACTGCCCCTTGCCTGGCCCCTGGCCACTGTGGGCTTGGCAGTCCAGAGACCGTGGTCACCTGCGTAGCCTTTCGGGAGCATCCTTAGGGGATGATGGCACCTGCATCTTGCCTTTCGTGGGTGGGAAGGGACTAGGAGGTGGCCTTAAGATTAGACCATTCGTGGCACCTCTCCTAGGGCAGCCCAGATGGTGGCTGAGTCATGAGTCTGTACAGCCTCCCCAGGACTGTGCTTGAAGTAGAGGGCTGCAGGACGGCTTTTGGGTATGAGCAGGATTGCTCTGGGGGTGGAGGGTTAGGACCCTCTAAAGTAGGAAGCAGGTTAAGTTCCCATATATGCCTTTACACTGGAAACAGAACCCACTTTGCAATCACCTGGGCTGCAGAAGCCTTTTCTGGTAAGGATATTAAACTTGGAACTGAGGGTGGCAGAGATAGGGTGGGAATCCATAGGGAGATACTGTAAGGATGGAAGGCCACAGATAGGATCGTACAGTTGAGAAGGGAACCTGTACAGGTTCCGGGAACCTGAGAGGCTCCTTAGAACAGCTGGTGGTTTTTTTGGGCTTTCCTTGTGGGAGTGCAGGGCTGTGGTAGATGAGTGCACCTGGCTCCAAGGATCAGGTCTTCTTAGGAAAGTCAGCCACCTCAGGGCTGATTGGTCTACAGCCTGCTTTAGGGCCATGGACCAAGGCTGCAGCCTGAGCAGACAATTCACACAAATTGAAGGGTCAGCCCCAGCCGCCACCACTAGTAAGGAAGGTTTGAGCAGAGGAAGAAAATCAGGGTTGTCTGTTACAATACAAGGCAGAGGAGGGTGGTGGCCAGTTTGGAAAAGAGATAAAAAGTGGGACTATGGGACTTGTAGGTGCTGGCTTTAAGAAAAACTACCATCCTTCCCTTTTTTTTTTTTAAATTTATATATTTTACATTTGTTATTGTGGTGTGTGTGTGTGTAAGTATGAGGACAACTCCTGGAAATTGGTTATCTCCTACCTGTTGGGACCTGGAGATTGAACTTAGGTTGTACAGCTTGTTGACAAGCACTTTTACCTGCTGAGTCATCTCACCTACCTCCCCTTTGATACTGGGTATTGAACCCAGGGCCTTAACTTGCCAAGCAAGTGCTTTACCACAGCTGTGTTTACATGACCCTCTCTTTACATTAAGACAATGTCTCATTAGGATGCCTATGCTAATCTTGAATTCACTCTGAAACTCAAGTAAGCTTTGAACTTTTGATCTTCCTGTCCAAGCCTCCTGACAAGGCCTGTGTCACCAGGTTTGGTAGTTTTAAATTAGCAATAATTGTGCCTCTGATAAACCTCGTTGACTATGGTACTGTTACTTTGCAAATCTGTAGCTGGAGTAGAGATTCCTGAGAGTTTAGGTAGAGGGTTTTAAGGTGGGAACAGGAAGAGCCTGCTGGAGGCAGGCTGTCTGTAGATGCTGAAGAAAAACCAGGGCAGAGGAAGGAAACCAGGGTTGTCTGTTACAATACCCAGGAGTAGTGCTACACTGATGGTAGGCTGCTCTACTACCATGGCATAGATGGACTAAGGTTAAAGAACTTGAGTTATACTTCTGAGTGCCCTTCCATGTTGAGCAGAAACTGGGGCATTTTTTTTTTTAATCTAGTAGTTTGTTCAGTTTCCTCCTGTGGTTACCAAGATATCTGGAGATCACCATAGATGCTGGGTGAGAAAACACCTGAACTTTGATTTCAGTGCTATTGAGCTATTTGCCTCTATCCCTGCCCTATGGCAGTAAAAAGCCCCTGTTGTGATGTAGGAACAAGTATGCAGTGCTGGGAATCTCAAGGTAGAGGAGTGGCTTCTTTCTGACATGTAAGTTGTCCTCCATGTGATCACGAAGAGGTGGGATTGTCCACTAAGCCCCCCTGACTGGTGTTCTCTGTGTAGTCCTGGAACTAACTCTGTAGGCCAGGCTGGCCTTGAACTCAGATATTCACCAGCCTCTGCATCCTGAATGCTGGGATTAAAGACATGTACTGCCACTATCCAGCATCCACTAAGGTTTAAAGTCCTTTATGAATGTCCATTTTCCTTCTAGGAAGGAGCCATGGATTTGCTGCGGGAGCTGAAAAATATGCCTATTACATTGCACTTGCTTCAGGTAAGCTCTTCCTGTCCTGATCTAGGATGGTTCCAGAGACAGTAATTCCAAGTGTGTCTAGCAGGGCTCCCTATATTAACTCCCATGTGGCTTAATTGGCACAAACAACTGTTCTAAGGAGAGGTGGTAGGTAGGTGCCCTGGGTTTTCTGTCCCTGCCCATTCCCCAGCTGTTCACTGTGGGAACCAAGAGTCCTTGGTGAGGATCTGCCTCTGGAACAGACCCCTACCACCTCTGATTCAGGCCACTTGCCTTGCAGTCCACTCGTGTTGGGATGTCTGTCAATGCTCTGCGGAAGCAGAGTTCAGACGAGGAGCTCATTGCACTTGCCAAGTCCCTTATCAAGTCCTGGAAGAAACTCTTGGGTGAGTTTCAGAATGTAAAGGCAGCTCTTGCTGGTCAGCACAGCATAGAGTGCTGGCTCTGCTATCCTGATTGAATCTATACATAGTGGGATATGACAGACATAGATCAGAAAGTCCCCATCCCTGGGTTATAGGATGAAGATGATAGAAGATGGATGTCATCTGTTGTGATGGGGAGGTGATGGCCTGGGAGGCATGATCATTGAGACAAGGGTATCTGCTGCAGAGGAGGTTTTCAAGCTGTAGGAGGCCAACAGAAAAGGAGGTCCAGGTCAGGATGCTCCAGCTGAAGGGGGAGGAGGTGGGACTGCTACCTATCCAAGAGGTGAACTAGGTAGACAGCAACTGTTTCTGGGGACAGTGGACAACCAGGCCGTAAAGATGGTTCTATTGATTAGGAAGGCAGCCTTCCTGGATTCTGCCTACTTCTGTGAGACAACACAGGGCCTGTCCTTCTTTATAGTCACATGCCCTGGTCCCTAGTTCAGGCTTTGAGCAAGGTTTTGCCCATGTTTTCAGAAGGAGCCTTATGTGAGGCATATGTTTGGCTTTTGGCTGGGTTGAGCCTTGATGAATCCCACAGTGGCTTGATTGGGGAGGGTGGGTCCCAAAGAGGCTGGTGGTCTTGCTGGGGATCAGCAGGAAGGTCTGGTAGTCTGGCACCTTGCCTGTCAAATAGCTTTAAGCAGAAAGGATAACGGCCAGGCTGAGGCTGGGCTCTCACCTGGCTACCTACTCCTGATCAGTCTACACCATCTGTTTTCTGATAATGGCAGATGTTTCTGATGGCAAATCCAGGGATCAAGGGAGGGGCACACCTTTGCCTACATCTTCCTCAAAGGATGCCTCAGGGACTACGGATATCAGGTAGTGTACCTGAAGGCAGGTACATACATTTATGCCTCTTGACTCAGTTTCCTCAGTGGGAAAAGGAGTCTGGTGTCCGTTTGCCTGGTTACTGCCCTGAAGGAAGGTCCCTCTCCAGGGTGTGATTTACAAGGTTTGTCAGCCTCATGCTGGATACTGTCCCACTGCTCAGTTTCCCTCTTGCCCATCTGAGATGTCTGGCTGTGTCTGTCTGTCACTGGCTTCATTGAGACCTTCATTAAGGAGCTCCTATCCAACAGGGCTGGCCCAGCCCCAGGCCCCCTTGCCTACTTCCTCAAACCCTATCTTTTTGCTATTCATCAGGACTGGTGAATGGGTCCTTTAATGCAAATGCTATCCAGAGCTAGAGGGAGGCCAGCTCTTATCTCCACATTTGTGCGGGAACACCATTGCTTTAAAGGTGGTCAGGGTAGCCTTGTTAACATGGAGACTAGGAGCACTAGTAGAAACAGCCTATAGATGAGAGACTACTTTGACCAGAGGCTGGTCTGAGGCCATGACAGGCTAAGCTCTGGACTCAGTGTAGCATTCCTGATATGATGTTATATCCTGAGCTATAGTACAGTTGATTTTGCTTCGGAAAGCCACCTGATGCTGCTGATTTCCAGAGGTGGTGTGAGGAAAGGGCCTGGTGGGCACAGCAGGAATTTTGGGCAAGTCTTGTGTTGGGCCCAGACTTGAGGAAATCCTTGCCCAATTTCATTTCTGTTGAGTGGGGTTACCTGTGACATTAAGCCTTGACTTTGGGCGACCTCCCATCTCATCTTTATTCCAGGCAACTAGAATTATTTGCCTGGTTCTGCCATTATCTGTCATAGCATGGCCCATGTCTTGGGTCTTTTGAGAAACACTCTGGAGGTAGCAAGACTATCTCATCCCATTTTGACCATGGAGTGTTGTTCAGACACTGACTGTTGAGGAGCTGACATCCACTTAGGGAGTGATCTGTGACTCTGTGGACCTTCTAGACAATACTCTGATCTGATGAAGACATAACACACAGACATTCTAGGCTGAACTAAGGATAGATGAAATCATTGGTCCTAGTTATAGAGCAAATGGACTTTGGAGGTCAGCATGGTATCCACATTTGCTTTTCTGGGGATTACCTGTGGCCTAGGAAAGGTCAGGGGACCACCCAGAGGTATCATCAGCTACTGGAGATGTACAGCTGAGCTCAGCAGGTTCAGTCTGAGCCCAGAAGGCTTTGTCTCTCTAGCTGCAAGAAGCCAGACCCACCTAAGACCTCATCCACTCCAAGGATCACCACATTTCCGCAAGTGCCCATCACCTGTGATGCTGTACGAAACAAATGCCGAGAGATGCTGACTTTGGCTCTGCAAACTGACCGTGAGTATTACAAGGTCTGGATTTTGACCCACTAAGTGGCCTGGGTCTCTGCCTTCTTCAGAGCTTGCTGCTGGAGAGACAACTCTTCTCTTTAGCTCACTGTGACCTAGCAAAGAGGCTAAGGTTTTGGGGGGTTACTGCAACATCTGTGTCTTGGGAACTGTCTCCCAGGAATGCAAGTGTTCTATTTAGCTTCTAGGGCTCTGTGCCAGCAGAGGGGTGGCAAATGGAAAAAATACAGTGAGGGAAACAAGTGAAGGTTCTCTCTTACAGATGACCACTTGGCCGTTGGTGTGAACTGTGAGCATCTGTCATCTCAGATCGAGGAGTATATCCTTTGTACAGGCCATATAGGGTCAAGGGCTTCTGATAATAGTCTATAGTCCACTGAGTTGTGCTTCTCCTGTAGCTATTGGATATAACTGTAGGCTACCCAGTGACTACCTACTAGATAGATCTAGGTCTCAAACAGGAATAGGCCTAGAGAAGGCACAACACTATAGGCCCTCGGTCCACCACAGGTCTTGAGTGGGTAGACTCATCTCCATGAACCTGGGAAGAACATTCCCCATATGACTCCCAGGAGGGGGAGGAGATCAGAAACCTCAGATGAGTCCTTAAATACCTGCACGCATCTTTCTGGATGTGGGAAACACTGACATGAAGTACAAGAATCGTGTTCGGAGCCGAATCTCTAACCTGAAAGATGCTAAGAACCCTGGCCTACGGCGGAATGTCTTGTGTGGTGCCATTACACCCCAGCAGATAGCTGTGATGACATCAGAGGTGAGTTCCCCTGGAAAGGCTGGGGCAGGTGTTTCTGCAGAGCTATAGGTTGAACACTTTACCCTTTTTATTAGGAGATGGCCAGTGATGAGCTGAAGGAGATCCGCAAGGCCATGACCAAGGAGGCCATCCGTGAGCACCAGATGGCCCGTACAGGTGGCACACAGACTGACCTATTTACCTGCAACAAGTGCAGGAAGAAGAACTGCACCTACACACAGGTTGGGGTCCATTCTATCTTCCTTGTCTAGGAACCTCAGGGTACACTCATCCTCTTTTTGGGTACCACCTATGTCTCTACTTTTGGTCTAAGGCTCTGTGCCAAGGCTAAGTGGCTTGGCCATGCCCAGCATGGACAGATAGGAGTATAATATGCTGTCTGTCAGTAGCTATGGGACCTTCAGATCCTGCTATGGAGATGGAAGTTGAAGTACTCAGGGAAGGCTATGACTCCAAGGAACATTGGGGGCTTAGGAAGAGGGTACTAAATTAAGATGGTCTCACTGGTAGATAGCTCTAGGGCTTGTGGAAACTGCCATCATCTGCAACAGGCTGCAGAGGGCTGGACCTGAGAGGCAGAGCAGCTCAGTTCCCACGGCTCAGGCCCTGTGGAATAATGTTTGCTGTTGAGTCTCCAATATGGCTAAGGCCACTGGCATCTCTGCTGATCCTTTTACTTTATAGACCCTCCTGTTGGGAATCCTGTACTTATCCAACATTCTAGACTCTACTGAGCACAGTTGTTCAGGGCCACAAAGGCCTCTGTTAGGATAATCTACTTCCTCTATAGGTCTAATTCTAGAAGGTTGAGGTAAGTTACTGGGCAGTTTCAAATCAACAGAGATCGGGGTGGGGGTATAAGAACGTAGTGCCCAGATCAGGGCAGCAAAACCAGGGATTCAGCCACCCACCCCACAGGTGCAGACCCATAGCTCCGATGAGCCCATGACCACCTATGTTGTCTGCAACGAGTGTGGGAATCGATGGAAGGTAGGTGGGTGGGCCCAGAATGCTTGCCTCCAGGCCTGTCTCGATGCACATTGGGCCTGAAGTAGGAACTGGGGGGCCCATTTTATCCAGCTAGCCGCCTGGGAGTCTGGGATGGAGCCTATCCTATTTCTGCCCTAGGGGGTTATGTGGGACCTTGGCTAGACATTTCCCTGCCTTCCTGCAGTTCTGCTGAGCCCTTGTACTGACATAGCCCTGGCCATGGCTAACACTGTCCCTCCTGCAATGTTCTTGGTGGACACAGCTTCTCTGGAGATTCCCTGAGGTGGCATGCCCTGTTCCAGTCTGCCTGGTGTGCACCTTTCTGTCTTTGTCTCTCATTATTAAATGATTTTTTTTTTTTTTTTTTTTTTTGCCTTCCTCTGGCCTTGTTCCTAATGGGCTAACCACAGGCTTCAGCTGGGTCCTGTTCTTCTACTGCTGTACTGTAGATCTCTCCTCCCTGGGCTCAGACAACACTTATGCTAAGCTGTGGTGACGCAATATTATAGACAAGAGCTTGTCTAATGTTTGGAGAGATTACTTGTTCATATATGATTCTAGGATATTGCTAATGCTTGCATATGTACCACCATGTTGGCTGTGTGGGCTGGTGCAGGAACTTGCCCAGTGTTCACCCATTCTCACCAGATATGGCAGCCTCAGGACCTGGTGACCTTTCAGGATGTTTTGCTTTGTCCTTCACTCTGCTTACCCATCGGAGAGGATGGTCTCTGAACTGAAGTCAATTCTCGCTTCAAATTGCTGAAGCTTCCAGCAACTTGGAGGAACAAAGTAGTGGATGCTTTGCTTTATTGGCCCTGTAAGATTAAGATGATGCTGGGTCTAGGTTCTTTAGAAAGACCATCAGCCTTGTTCCCATCAGCCTCTGGGAAGACATTTCATCAAGTACTGGGTTTTGGATAGTCTTTAGTTGCATCTCAAGCCTTTGTTGGGTGCTGACCCACCATAGAGTTGAGGCCAGTTCCTAGAGCTATACTTTGGGCAGGGCCCACAATAGTCACCTACTAAGGCTACTGCTATGGGACAGCGCACAAGGTAGAGTCTGGATAGATAATCCTTTTCTCCAATCTCCTACCCCAACAGTGGGATAAACAGAGGCTTCTGTTTTTAAAAAATATAGAATACTCATCATGATTTTTGGCATGTAGAGGAATACACACAAATGTGAAAGGTCTCTTTTTTTCTTTTGATAAAACATACAGTAAGGACATATTTCCAACTTTAAAGTTAATATATAAAATATAAAGGGGCTCTTCATTTGAGTCTGACTCTGAGGTCCTACATCTGGTTCTGAATTAACAGTTCTCCTGCTTCAAACCTGTTGGCATAAAGGGTTTTCTCCATGAGAACATCTCCTGGGCACATGACTGGGGGGGGTGGTCTGAGGCACCATCTATGAGAACCCCCAGTAGGAGCAGGCTAGGACAGAGCAGAACATTGCAGTTGCCACTGGGACTGAGTCTATTTCCAGCCAAGTGAGACAGGGCTAGCCTCTAGGCTGCCCATGGGATTAGAACATCTGTGTGACAAATGACCTAGGCCTCAGAGGACTGTGGGGCCCCCTGGAGTAATAGAGAACGGTAGGTGGGGGAGGTAAGGAAACGAGGGTAGGAGTCCCGGTGCATGAGGGTGTAGATCTGCAGCTGTGCATCATCGAATGTGTGTGGCGATGGCTCTTGCATCTTCCTATTGATGCCTTCTCGAACACGGGAGTCCAGGCTTACCTGTGTGGCAGGCACCAATGTCAGGGGGGAGGGGCAGTGCCCTTCCCAGGTCACCCCCACTCATCCCTGCATCTGGCCCACCTCCTTGGGGGACAGGATAGATACGTAGTCCTCATAGATAAGTCGCGCCTTCTCATCCACCACATGTTGGTTGGCCTCTGCTTTCAACTCCTCACAAGCCAGCCAGAAGAGCATGTTCTCTTCACTGTATTCTGTGCGCAGGAATGCCCGGAATACACTGCGGCCCGTGGGGCTATGCATCAACTTGTCAAAAGACTGTGCCCAGCTCTGTACTTCCTCAGGGCTTGGTGGAGTGCTGCAGGCATTAGGGCCGGACTATGTCAGGCCTGAGACATGCACACAAGTACACATACATGCATGCCTACACAATGGTGGCCATACTCACCAGACTTCACAGCTGGGGAGGGGTTGCAGCTTGCTTTCCCGAGAAACCTGCCAAGCTCGTTGCCGTTCTTGGTTCCTAGTGGCAAAGTAAAGTGGCACTACCTTTTGCAGTTGAGTTCTCTACACACCTCTGTGGCTATATGTATGCTTTGCTATGTGGATGCCTAGCACCAGTAAATCCGTTACGAGAAAGGAAGCTCCTAGAGTGCACCTTCTTCACATCCTCTTGTCCCATCCCCTACCACCACCCCCACTGAAGTGGCTTATGCAGATTGCTGTTCTCTTTCCTGGTCAGCAGTTGGACTCTGCAGGTTCCTGGCATCCCTCCCTCTCTTTGGGTAGGTAGAACCATACTCCTCATCCTAGTTCCAGCTCATTCCCTAGGTCACTGAAAAATCCACACTGCAGACCTAGTATCAACAGTATGACTCATTGGCTGATGTAGGGTAAGAGACTCTCTAGTGTGTCTGTACCTGTCTGGTCCTGGATCCTGAACCCTGCTTCCAAAGAAGTTTCTCCCTGTCAGCCTATCCTCAGCAGGCACAATGTACATCTCATAACCAACGTTATGGGGAGAATTCAGTTCCCAGTAGGCCTGGCTTCTCAGCAACAACACAGCTCAAACTTCCAATGAGCCCTACTTATTCATATTTCATTCCTTATATCTTGCCTATACACAGTCCTGGATGGCTTACTGTTTAACAGTTCCCACTTTGAGTCTCTCAGTCTGTGTAGGGCCAGATTGCTGTAAGGTAGAAAACTTCTACCATCTTCTGTATTCCTGCCATCAAAATCTCCAAATCTCAAATACCTTTTTGTCTAGGGCCAGCTGTTCACCTATCTAAATCTCTTCTCAAATGTGTCCCTACTGCACACATTTGATCTCGAATCTGGACAGCTCTCAGTGGAATAAACAGGTATATGGTGAGTGCATGGACACCATATGATTGCTACTTGCTTGCTCTTGCAATATAATATACTCCCCAGTACACTAGGTATAAGAAGGGCTGGAGAGATTGATCAGTGATCTTTTGCTGATCTTCCATAGGCCCTTGGTTTGAGTCTCAGGACCCACATATTGGCTCTCAACTATTTGTAATTTCGGTTCCAATGCCTTCTTCTGGCTCTTCATGCACCAGGTATATTTTCAGCACACATATATATTTAGGTAAATACTCATAACATTTAAGAGCCATACAAAGTCCCCTAGAGGATCTGGGTACTACCACTAGCCAACAAGGCCCAGCAATCTCTGGGCAGGGTGATAACTCTGTGGCAGGGGCTCAACAGTTTCTTGGAAGCCTCTGGAGGGTCTAGGGAACAGGACCAGGAATGAGCCCTAAATGCCACCCCATCCCAGCCCCACATGCTTCAGTGCTTCTGTAAGTACATGTTCTGTACATGAGCTACTCCCAGGACTATATATACCCCTGTTCTGTGCTTCATGAACCATGTATTCCCAGGCCTACATACTCTGGCTTTGCTCCCCATGAGCCATGTACCCCTTCCCAAATACCCTGAGGTCTTCCCAGGGCAAGCTGTACCCCCAAGGCCCACATACCAGGAACAGCTACAGCAGCAGCACCAGCATAAGCAGCAGGGATTTCGACTGGAAGGTCCTGAGGGGGCTGCATCATGGCTGGACATCGAGGGAGGCCTGTCTGCCTCCTCTGGCCCTGTGTGCTGAGGAAGAAGGGGCTGTCTCAACCTCTAGAATTCCTGTCTCTGCCCATCTGCCTATGTCCCTAAGGTTATATCTTGAACCCCAGGTGTCCAGGAACCCCATTAGAGGTGGCGAGTGCCTACCTGTTTCTCAGCCTCATGTGGAGTGGGCATGGGTGAGTGGAAGGGGTTGCCCAGATTCTGTGGTGCCAGCTCTGGACCCTCACTGCAGCATAAGATCCTGGCAGATCTAAGAAGAAGGTTGGAATTCTGACTGAGGGCCCGTGATGCTGACCCACCTTGTAACCCCTGCACCCACCTCAGGGCTTGGTCAGAGCTCTGCTCCAGGCTTCTACCCCAAGCCTGATTACTTACACCATGTGGAGATTCCTGTGTCAGTGACAGGGCTATTGCAGCTGGGCCTTCCACAGAAGGTTCTAAGACACCCCTATCTGTTCAGTCCCTGACAAGCCGGAAACTTGGGTTCCTCTTTCTTGATTTCCGGCTCCTGGCCCCTCCCAAAGGGACTGGCGCTACAAGTTGGTTATGGAGGGTGTCAGATATTCTGACTACTCTCTTCCTCTAGGGAGATGGGTAGAACTGCTACCCAGATGAGTGCAGGGTGCTAGGCCTGAAGCATTGAGTACCTGACTGGGACTCAGAACAAGACTTCTGGAAGTGTGAGGAATGAGGTATGCACTGATGAGAGGTGTGTACTCAAGGAACAAGGTTCTTTGGTCCTCTGCTGCCTCAGACAATCCCACTTTCACCCTGGATTCCACCTATCTCCCTAGATACAGAAGCTGGTGCGGCAATGTAGGAGGATAAAGTGCTTAGCTGGAACCTTGGGCTCTTCAGTGGATTTTCATATGGTTTATCATTCTTGATGTTAGCCCATACCTTCATAGGGGGTTCCAGGAATCTCTTAGGCCACTGAAAGCTGACTTCAAATTCCAGTGTTCCCCAGACAAATAGAAGCAAAGCATCCAATCAGCACCTTGGTGGCAGTTTTGGATGCCTCCTTTCTCCCCAGCCTGTGCCCACTTCTGTCCAGGTGGAGGCCATCCAGGCTTTAAGCCTTCTGCTTTATCCACCATCCTCTCATAAGTCACATTTTCTCAATGAAATTCACCCTCCTGTAGCCCTTCATCCAGCAGAGGCCTTTAAATCCTGTTTCTGTCTGATCCCTGTATACTGGGCAGCTTCACCACCTGAGGCTTTCTGAGATGGTGGGGTCCCAAGTCTCCAAGCAAGCAAATCGGGACACACAGTAGATTGGGCTATACTTTCCTGGGGTTGAGTTTCCAGGGAAAGGGTGAGTAGCCTGAGGTCTCCATGCTCTCCAAAATCGTCATTCCTCATTCCATCACCCTGCAGACCATCCTTCATAGGGTCCATCTCCAATCAGCTGACTGGACATGGAGCCTGGATGCTGGAGTCCAGTGGGTGCCCTACCCTTTTTCTAGCTGGTCCTAGCTCCTTGCACTCATCAAAAGTCAGTTGGGACTACCCATGTCGTCCAGGGTGCTCTTCACTACTGTCTCCTTTCTGGGCAAGGAGAGCCTAGAGTCTGACAGGGTTGTCCTGCCCGACATTCAGCTGTTGGAGGGCACCTTTCCTCCCCAAGCCTCCCAGGCATTGGCCTCCCAAGTCTATGCTAAGAGGCCAGATTCAGCAAATTGGGTCTCTGGGAACAGAAGCTTCCTGGTGAATGGCTGTCAGTGTTGCTCCACAGAAGCAAAAAGATCGTCCAAGCCCACTCAGAAAAAAAAAAAAATTCCAGGAAAAAAAGTCAACCTTTGGGAGGGGGGCTGACAGAGGATTCTTTCTCACTTCCATCCAACACTGTTATTGTCCTACCTATGCCTCCATGGCAGGCCAGGCCTCTCACCATGGTGAACCCAGCTGCCCAAGCCCACCTGTGGAATGGTAGGCCCCCACCCAGTTCCTGCTTTTCTGCCGGTGGGGCCGTCTGGAGGGCTGGTCTTCTCAGTCCCTCTTGCAGTCTCTGATGCCCCCACCCCTTTCTTAAGGAATTCCCCATGGGGCCCAACTCACCAGCGACCTAAAGGCAGATGGGGGAAGGAGGGCCAGGTTCGATCTGGGCCCCACCCTGGCTGTCGAAGGGGCGTGCTCTAAAGCAGTAAGGATTTAAGTCAGACAGCAAGATGTACTCCCAGGCACACTCGAGGTAGAAAGGCTCACAGAGTTCCGCTCAGATCAAGCCGGGGATACAGCATTCACCCCTATGGCTCGCCGAGCCAACTCTCTAGCGGACGCAACTCGAAGGGTGGGTAAGGTGGCAGATCGGGAGTCTCGTCTGGCCCCTCCCCACCAGGCTAGCGAGCAGGAGACACGGAAACCTGGGTTCTTCCGGCCCCCACCTTTGAGCAATCACTTCTCAACGCTTTGAGCTGAAGAAAAAGGGGAACCTTGCTGCGGCTCTCCCTCCCCCACGCGCAAGGGGTGGGCTCCGGTCCTACTGCGACCCAGGTCCACGTGGACCGGTCACTTTAGTCCGGGAACAGAGCCGGCATCTATATCGCTGGGGCCCATCCGCGGTCCAGCGCTGCACTCACCGCCGCGTCCCCGAGTCACGCCGCCCGGGCGCTCCGAAGTCCCGCTGGTCGCCGGGGAGGGGGCGCAGGCGCAGTGCGCAGGCGCCTCTGCGGTACTTCCCCAAAGAGAGGGGCCGGGACTTCCTCGAGCCCCAGCGCCTGCTCGCCCGCAGTGCCCCGCCCCGCGCCCGCTCCCGTGCCCCACCCGCGGCTGGCGTGTTGTCCCGCGGTAGCGTGGCATGGTGACCCTGAGGGGTGAGTCGTACAGAGACAGTAGATTGAGCTGGCGCTCCGTTCTTGTTAGCTGGGTTTTCCCAGCGTTTATGTGGTAGTGCAATGTTGGGCACCAGAGCTGAGCCCTGTGTGCTACTTGGCTTGCCTGGATTTAGACGAGGCCTTTGGGAAGGACTGGCCTGTGTTACTACCCGGTCTGGCCAACTCTTAGCCTTTCTGAGTCTGGTCTGTAACAAAGCATTAGTCTGTTACTCTGCATTTGAACTTTCCCCAAAAGGGAGGTTCAGGAGCTGCAGCGTTTGGGCACCGTGCAAGTAGGTTCTTACATCGAATTACTCCGAATGTTTTTGGGGCCTGGTTGAGTCCCTTCTGAACTCTCAAACTGCACCAAGATAGCCTTTACCACAAATGGCCTTGCTCTTTGGTCAACTCTTCATATCCTTTGTCACTGGGTATAAAATTGAATTAGTTCATTATCCCAGCATGCTTTGGGCCAGTGTCCAGAGGCCCTAACTCTGCTTTAGTCCTGGTCTGTAGAATGTGATCCACTGGGCCATGTGGTTCCTGCTCTTCTTAGCACAGGACACACAGCCTGACCAGTTCAGTTCTTGCAAACAAAACACCATTCAGTCACACCAGTTGTTTATGCTCACATACTACATCATACATACTAAGTCAGAGGTGCAAAGGAGATGCTTCACATGAGCAGTGGGGCAGGGCAGAGGAAGTGATTGCAGTGGACTAGAATAGGAGACAGGAAAGAAAGGGATGGGGTAAGAGGTGAGGAGGCAGGATGTTGCCCCTTAGGGGTCCAGAATGAAGAGAACAATTGGGGGCTTTATGAGTTGACCACAGAATCCTTTGGCTGCCAAGCTGATGGCTTCCAAAGTAAGGTAAAGGCTAAGAAGCCCATCTGAACAGGAACAGTTACTATAGTTTAGATAATATTCCTGAAAGGTGGACACAGGTCAGAACATGGAGGCCCAGTAGAAATGGATGAGTACCTGATGGAGGCCACAAAACCTGATTCTGCAGTGTTTGTGTGGGCATGACTGTGGGTAGAAATCAGTATGTTTTCCTCTTAATTCCTTTTACATGCCTAACTACTTGTCCTTTGCCACCCTACATCTGCTCTCAGCACCTTTCCCTAAGCACAGAAAATGCCTCTAAATCCAGGAAGGAGACCAGCAGCACTAAGTAAGTGATGCCAGTGGGGATGGATCTGGAACCCAATATACTCTGCTGGAGAGCGAGGAACTCCAGCTCCTTACAAGCCCTACCTGATTGTACATGAGTCACAGGCTTTGTATCCCTATAGGATTTTCTTCAGACAGGGATCCTATGCAGACTTCTCTAACTGCCTCTGTAAAATCAGTCAGTCCCTCACTGATGGACAGATCAAGTGGCACTCTTAAGTTGGTCTGACATTTGGTGTGGAGCTCTTGTGCCACTGGCCTTCTGATGGTTGTCTTTGTTCTCAGACCTCTGTTCTGAAGTACTTATGTGGATTACTCACTGTGTAGGACACTGACTGCAGTGACTTTAGGTATTCCTATAACCCCAGGAAGAAATGCAGGGTCAGAATGGGGATGAAACAATGGTATGACTTTACAAAGTAGGTGAAAATTTTCACTTAGCAAATCTCTAAGACAAAATTCTGGGGTCTAGAGCTTGGCCAGAGGAGCCCAGTATTGGTTACTATGTAGTGTAATTGACTGTCATTGGAGATCTACATCTGTGTGTAAGAGAGACCATCATTCCTGGATGAAGAGACTCTCCTTTTCCCTGTCCATACCCATGTCCAAACCTACCATTTCCCTGTCTCTGTCATCTTTCCCATTGTCAAGAAATCTCCAACCCTCCTCCTGAGAGCTGCTGCTGATTTGTGAATGCTTCAGTCTGGGCTTGGATCAAGGCCTAGGGCAGCAACAGGCCAGAGAGTGAGAGGGGTCATGTGCAGGGGGGAGAAGACTAGCTGAGGAAACAGAGCCCTAGGAACTGGCCATCAGTGAGTAAGATCCTTCTGGACCACAGTTTTGAAGTCGTTTTCCTCCCTTCTGTTCTCTATCTCATGCAGAGCCAGTGGGAGCCTCCATGCAGGAACAGGGAACTGTCTATCTCTCTGGAACTTCCACCTCTATGCAGCCTGATGGGGAGGGGCTGGAAAGGAGGACAAGGACAGGGAGCCAAGAGGCCAAGAAGCCAGTGCTGTGGAGAAGAGGAAGATGAGCTGCCCAGAAACCAGGGGCTTTTCAGAGTCCAGTGGTCAGAATGGGATGGGTAGCTTCCTTCCTGTGCTCTGTGTTTGGTGGATGAGTGGACACAGGAGGCTGTTTCTGATGGAAGGGAGGCTGTGAGTGAATTTTCTGTCCCACCATCCAGGGGCCTTGGAGTGATCACCCCATTTACAACCTGTTGGTCATCTGGGCACAGCTGGACTCTCCAAAGGCCAGTTTTGGCTTTGCAGTCATTTCCCCCTCCCATAATGCCACCCCAGTCCTCAGATAGAATGACCCCAACTTTGGAGACAGCTCTGATTGCCAGGGGTGCTGGTGTCTAGGCAGGTTCATTCCTATCCTTTCCCACACTAGTAGCCTCCCACATCTATGACCCTGGAGTGCACCAGTTTCAGGCTGTTGGGAGATAGGAGTATCCACCTACCAACATCTCCTTACTTCTGCGACTGTGGCTGTAGGAGAGGCAGCATCCATGTTTGTCCTTCTCTTGGGGGCTCAGGGGAAAAAGAGGGGAAAGACCTGAGAACCCTCGAAAAAGAACTTTATATGAGAGGGTGGGGAGCCGCTGTAACCTGGGGTCTCTGACCGACAAGGTCTCGGTCATCGCGGGAAGATGTTGCCATCTACCTCCTCTTCCAGGATTGTCTCAACACGCCTCCGCTGCAGAGAGAGGGACTGGGGCTAGTATGTGGCGAGGCACGGTACCCTCCCACCCGTCTCGGGGCTTCCCCGCACCTCTTGTCGGTCCAGAGGATCAGGGATCTTCGTGGGCTTCAGTTGGGGTGGTAGGAACAGTTCCAGTCGGATGGCGGCGCGCGCAGAGCTCTGCTTTTGGATCAGGAGAGTGATTTCCTCTGCCTGGGAATCAAGTTTACTGAGCAACTCTGTGAGCGCGCTAGAGGAGTACCCTCGCTCTGGGTCCTCTCCCTTCTGCCTACCCGCATTCGAGTGTAGCGCAACCGCAGGGCGCGGACTCGGCCCCGAGCTTCTGCGGCCTTAAGGATGCCCAGAAGCCGATTTTGACGCTCAGATGGTAGCTCTAATGCCTGCGTCCAGGTGCGCGGGTCGGGCATGCCGTAGGGTAACTCCACGGATTCACGTGGAAACATGGAGGCTACCTCTCCTATGTCGTCAAGTACGTCGCCAAAGAGCAGGTGGCGTCGGCGTAGTGTGGGGGACATAGCTGCCAGCTTCTCCTGAGTCAATGGCCAGCCTGGCTTCGGAGGCTCTGTAGTCCACCGGCCCTTCCTGCGCTTCTCACCAGCTCCAGCTCCAGCTCCAGCTTCAGCTCCAGCTCCAGGTGCACTCTTTTTGGCCCGCTCCCGTGCACCCTTTACTCCTGGGGACGGCATGCTCCCGTCTGTGGAAGAAAAGGGGATGTCCAGTCACTTAGAGGTGACTATGGAGTCACTATAGCTCCAGCTCTGTATTTAGGGGACTTCCTGTAGCCACCTAACTCATATCCCTAAACTGGTAGCTGACCCTGTGTATATCTGCAGTAGGCCATGACTTTCTGATCTTCTCCAGTTTTAGTAGTATACCCAATTTAGGACTATAAAACCTGGTGGACTGTCCTACATGCATGCCATTGTTGCTCCACACCCTACATCACTATGGTCATGGGTCATTCAGTGTCTCCTATCTCTGCATCATCAGAGACTGGTCTGATCCTGTTCCCTGATCCCTAGTCTTTGATTGGGGTAGGGTTAAGGGCATGGCCCTTCATGATACCTTGGGCAGAGGACCCCACCTTGTGTTTGTGTCTACACGTATCTGCTTGAATGTGTATGTGAATGGTGTTGTAGGTATATGTGTGTTTGGATCTGTGTGTACATATGTACACAGGGAAGCTAAGCCTCTGTTCTCCTGCCCTATCTCCTCATGGGCAAAGACGTGGGGAGCAGAACCCAGGGAAGAAGAGACAAAAGAGGAATGGCTCAGAGAGGGAAAGGAAACCAACCCTAGCAACCATCCTTAACCTAGCTGAAGCTCCTGACTTCCTGTGGATGAGGAGTAGAGACACGATTGAGTGCTCTTCCCCAAATTTGTCTAATCCCTTGCCCACCTAACAGCTCACCATCTAGGCCTCCCCATCCCAGGTCCTCACACTCTCATACTTTCTGCCCTTTCAGTGGGAAGACTCGCCTCTGTTTTGAATCTTTGGGCTTGTTGACTATGTTGCCTAGCAACCTGGAGTCCCGCCCTCTCCCAACACAGTGCAGTATGCCCCTATGCTAGCACCAAGGTACAGGGATTAGGGTCATGTATGTGTTGTGTCCTGCCTCAGGTCC